ATCAAAAATAAAACTCATTTTTCGAGTGTTATTTTTTTGCTCTGAAGTAATAATTATTTTGTGAGTTGTTTTCTTTTTGATCAAAAATAATCATATTATTATGAGTTTTATATTTTTGATCAGAAACAATCATAATCTTTTGAGTTTTATTTTTTTCATCAAAAATGAGGATTATTCTTTTTTTTTATTATTTTGATCGAAAAAAAAACTCATTTCTTGAACGTTATTTTTCTCTCAGAAATAAAAATAAACTTTTGAGTTTTTTTTTTTTTTTGCAGTTCGAAAAACTCAAAACGCCTCACTTCACCTAAACTCAACTCACCACACCTCAGCTCACCTCACCTCAGAGCAAAAAAATAACGCTCGAAAAATTAGTTTTATTTTTGATCAGAAAAGTATAACTCAATAAATGATTGTATTTTCTGAGCAATACAATAAAACTCAAAATGTAATTATTATGATTGAGCGCAAGTATTAAAATCTCAAAATAATAATTAAAAGTTAATTTTTTTGATAAAACTCATAATGATTACGGTCCCTGGTTTTTAACCAACGTACATATATGTAAAACCAATCGATACATATACACAGCGCTGCATTTCCAAATAGTACCAAAAAGGTCTATGTGGCGTCAATGTACTTTTTGGTTTCAAATTGTACCAAAAAAGCGCAATTGTGGCAACTTTATCATCACTGAGTGTTAGCGACAAAGTGGCTGCCGTCTGGCGGTTGGCTGTAGTTTAGCATGATCGCTGCCCATCTGTTCTGTTCTTCTCTTGGCTTGGGGCTTCATCTACTATTTTGCTCTTGACTTTCAGGAATTTAACGTATGAAATTATTACGTGACGGCAAGAATTTTCCTTCGTTGTGTTGTCGTCTCGTGCAGTCGATTCGTCGAATTCCAGTCGTCCAATCATTTCCTATGCGATTGCCTGCGTTTCCCGCTTGCTGTACTGGGCGTCTTCTTTTGAGTGGCTAAGTGTTCATACATACATATATACAAAATACAACTTCACATACCGACATGTATGCATGCATTTCTTTTTATTTTGTTGCATTTTTTTATATGCAGATACATACACTACTATGTACTCACAATGCTGGAAAAGAAATTGACTCCTAGGGCTGGTGTAAATTCACTCAGTCATATCCCAAATATACAACACCAATCATTCGGTCTCATAAGCAATCGGAATAATAATGATCATAGATTTCCTTAAAAGAGATTGACGATCTTTTGCATCAAGGTGGTGGCGTACTGATAAATGGCATCACGAGGTCGATAACGAATATTGCTTTTGGAAACTACGAGGATCACTATACTAGTCTTTTGATTTTGCAACACTAGCGGCATATCAGTAGATCTGACGTTAGCATCGTGGAGTTTGGCATTTTTCAACATTAACATTCTAAGAAAGTTTTAGTACACTACGGACGCTCTTTAAATTGTTTACAATTACTTTAAAGTTTAAAGTAGGCAAACAAATTATCTTTCAAAAGGTTTTCGGTGGATGATTGTTCGCAACTTTAGACGTCGATTAACATAAACACAGTCCATCGATAAACTTGTTTTGACTTTTGATGATGAAAAACCATCATGGCCCTTTGTTTTTAATTGGTATACTGCATTAAAGCGCAGTCTTACTTCGCTCGCCGTTGAGCATAAAGAAGGTCGTCCAATGTCAGCCTGTACGCTGAAAGCATCAGCATCGACGCTGTATGTAGGACTATAACGGAAGATCGTCATGTGACATACATACATATGTAGTCTGATACAGTACCCGTAAAATTTTCAGGATTTAGTCATATTGGATAGTTCCATCTGCTGTGGTGTAGAAATTGAAAACACTGATGAATTGCATTTTTAATTTTTTGGAGTTCAGCGTATACATACATAATTATCCTTTTGAGGCATATTCAAGCAATTTGAAAGCCGCTCGAAACACGCCATCTTTGATGTAATCGCCGAATTAAAGCATTGGAAAGTTAGTTTCACAAGATTTCAAATGGTTGACAATTAGATAGTCAACAATTAGTCGTATTTGTAAAGTTTATAATCAATTTCTAGAAAGTTGTATGTGTGTACATAAATTAGATGCTTAAAATCATCACATTTTGTGATCACACCATGGGTCTCAATCCTTCTGCTACTGTACGATGCATAGGCTCTGCATAAGTTTGATGGTTTGGTGCAAAGGAATGCAAAGAGGTAAACAGCACATAATCACTGGCAAATCTGGCACACACACCTTATACAAGCGCTTTTTGTTGTGCGAACTTTATCGATTTCACGAATTCCATCGCATAACTCCTTTTTATTTCTTTTTTCCTTTTTTTGAAAGTTTTATTGATCCATATATTGCAAATTTTATGTATGTATAAGCATGGATTTACAGTGACTCACACGTTCAATCTGATGCCTTTAAAAATCATACAAATAAATAAATAAAATACTAATAACACATGCTCAACACAAAAAGCTACTCTATTTGTATTTAAACTTTTACGCGATTTGCTATTGAGTGTTGAAATATTAGGGCCAAATCATCTAACCAAATCATCTTACCAGAGAGTTAGGCGACTTACGGAACGCTTGAAGACCAGGGCGAACTCTTGCAAGAACAGTAATAACAACCTAGTGACTGATGTACGAAACGTACTTAAATCATGGAGGGAACAATTTTCCACCCTACTGAATGGTGGCAGTACCGAAAGCTGTGGAGAAGGCTAGCCCGTACCCCCAGTCGATGGTGACGGAGTCGATGTTATAACACCTGACTATGACGAGGTACGAATAGCAATAGCGCGCTTGAAAAACAACGAAGCTGCTGGAGCTGAGAGACTGCCAGCTGAGCTATTCAAGTGCGGCTGCGAGGAGTTGATAAGGTCCATGCATCAACTCTTATGCAGAATATTTGTGGTCAGATTAACGCATGCCCAACGACTGGAATTTAAGTGTGCTCTGCCCAATCCTCATGAAAGGCGACCCCGCCATTCGCGCCAATTATCGAGGGATCAGCCTTCTAAGCATAGGTTTCAAGGTCTTATCGAGCGTATTGTGTGACAGACTGAAACCCACCATCAACGAACTGATTGAGCCATATCAGTGTGGTTTAGACCTGGCAAGTCTACCATAGACCAGGTATTCACAATACTCCAAATCTTGGAAGAGACTCGCGAGAAAAGGATCGACAGTCACCACCTATTTGTCGACATCAAAGCCGCTTGAAGCATAAACAGACGGCAGCGTTGATCCGGATTAACTCGGGAATTGACTGCAGTTGATCCGAATTAAGTCCGAGTTAATCCGGATCAACGATGCCGTCTGTTTAAGCTTTTAGAGTCATAACTGTTTTACCTTATAGGACTGCCGCGAATGAAATAAAGTTTTCAATTTGAGATCAACTATGAAGAAGATCAATATTCATCGCAATCTGGATGTTAATGTTGTCTCAGTATTAAAAGAATTTGTATCTATACCTTGGCGAATCGCATTATTGAAAGCAGAGTAATTTAGTAAATAACGCATCATGAGCCTTTTCTTTGAGTTGTGGTGAATTATATCCATAATTAAATACAATATCCTGAATATTCTAAATAAAACAATGATATTCTTGGTTGTTGCAAATGACTTTACGACTCGAAATTGTTCACCGGACAATTGCTGTTGGTTTAATCCACGTCGAAAGTTAGAGAAAATCTTTGCACGAAAATATTCACGATTTATTTTCAGTTGCAAGTAGCCCTAAACATCACAACGTGTACTCGCATGACAAAACGATCTGAGTACGTTTACCATTCTTCTTCTTCTTCTTTTTTGGCGCTGTAACCGCCTAAGCGATTTTGGCCGAGTTCAGCAAAGCACGCCAGTCGTTTCTCCTCTGTGCCAGCTGACGCCAATTGGAAACGCCAAGTGAAGCCAAGTCCTTCTCCACCTGATCTTTCCATCGCAGTGGGGGCCTCCCTCTTCCTCTGCTACCACCAGCGGGTTCCGAGTTGAATACTTTCAGAGCTGGAGCGTCGGTGTCCATTCGAACGACATGACCAAGCCAGCGGAGCCGCTGTATTTTAATTCGCTGCACTATGTCCATATCGTTGTAAAGCTCATACACCTCATCGTTCCATCGTCTGCGGTACGTTTACCATTAAAAATGTCAAAACAAATATTCGATTGCAGCGTATGTCAAAAAGCTGTCACTAACTTTAGAGCAAGGCGCATCAATTACAGGTGATAGCAATTGAAGCCATGCTTCTTCTTATGAGCACGCTTGTGTCAAATTATCGCCTGTTTTGCTTTGTTTGCATATCCGCATATACATACACATTTACGTAAATATATGCCATGCAAACAAATGTTCCCGAAATCTTTAAGAGTATCGGAAATTTGTTACGATTCTTTTAGGAATCTTTAAAGAAAAAACATATGAAGCTGTTGACAAGAACTAGTAAAGAAATTTCTGCACGATTTCGAAAAGAAAATTCTTAAATAAATTGTGAAACCTTTCGGAATTTAATGAAATCCTGGTATTCAGGGTATAAATATACATACGAATATGAATAGATAAAGAAGATGTTGATGACACAAGGAGTTCATACCAACGGCAAATGTTGTTTCTGTACGATTGCTACAACCTGTAGTTATTGAATCATGCTTTAGAGTCGACTTTATCTCGACTATGATTATGCCTCTTTTTATATTGGGCCGAATTAATAAAAACAAAGCAATTGCTTTTTCTTAAAATTGCATAAATTTCACTTCAATTTTGTTTGAATAAATCGAGTAAAGTGTTAGAAATTTTAAGAAAAAGCAATTGCTAATTTTTTATTCATACGGCCCATTATATAAAGTTTAAAATTTTGATTCATAAAAGATAAAGAAACTCTTTAAATCTATCTAATTTTTTATGAATGAGGCCATAAATGTATATCTTTATAAGAAAATTTTTTTAATTTTCAAAATTCCTTTCAAAAATTAAAATTTCTATTTTTTTGTGTTTCAGAATTTCACACCGTTGCGGTACAATGCTGTTAATGGTGGTCGTTCCGACCCGCCGGATTATATGCACGCCAAGTTGATGGAACCACTGCCATCGGTGTCACCATTACCTGTCGCACCACCGCCTAATCCCCAACTAAATGGGCATGTACCAAAAGTTCTGCCACCGGGTCTTATTTCGTCGAAATTGAATCGAAAGCCAAGCATCGAACGGGAAACTCCGCTTAATTATCTGCAGCGATGTAGTCCGGCATTGGATTCTGGTGCAGGCAGTTCCCGCTCGGACAGCCCGCATTCGCATCAACAAGTCGCAAATGCTGGACGCGTCGGAACTGGACAATATTCACCGTCACCTTCCAGTTTCAGCGATGTTGGGCCGCCGGCACCGCCGCCACGGCATCCGACAACGGTAAATTCCGCAACACCGCCGCCGCCACCTCCCAATCAGCACTACAAACGGCGATCTCCTGCAAATACACGGCCAGCGGCGATCACACCCAGTCCAACAACACGCGGCACTTCCCCAGTTATAGTACGTAACGGCATTAAGGCACAACAACAACTGTCACAAATGAAGGCGCTAAGCCTGTATCAAGCTGGTGGCAACGCCGTTGAACCGCCGCCTCCGCCGTATCCTATCAATACAGTGGTGGTAGCGACATCAGCGCCGCCGCCTAGCTACACGGCCTCCATGCAATCACGTCAGTCGCCCACGCAGTCACAATCCGACTATCGAAAGTCTCCAAGCAGCGGCATATACTCAGCCACCTCTGCCGGCTCGCCCAGCCCCATCACTGTGACAAACAGCGCGAACCTACCACTGCAGCCGACCGCTGTGGCGCGTCCGCAGCCGCGAACCTACGCGCGCACCCAGCAGCCAATCATCATGCAAAGTGTGAGATCGACGCAGGTGCAAAAGCCGGTTCTGCAAACAGCGGTGGCGATACAGACACCGGTATCGGCGTCGGCCTGCAATTCTCCTGTACACATTATGCCCGTGCCACCTTCATACCCCCAAAAATCCGCCGTCGTAGTACAACAGCAGCAAGCAGCTCAACAGCAATCGCCGTTGTTGGCTGGTGGCGTTCCTACCACGCTAAGCGCTGCGGGCAAGTCAGCGACTCCCACTACGCCGCCGCTTATTGCGAACGCGCTAAACGGCACCGTGGTAAGCAAACCGCCCTGCATCGAGCCACCTTCGTATACCGTAACAATGCAGGCGAAGGCCGCTCAGCATCATCAGCAGCAACAACAGCAACCATCATCAGCAGCTGTCACTGCAGCCCAGTTGCGCGCAGCTGCAGCTTTAGTTGCACAACAACAGCAACAGCAGCAGCAAAAGCAGGTGAGCGCAGTACCAGTTCCAGCACGTCAGTTGCCCCCACCACCGCCCTACCAGAGCACACGCGCTGCTGCTGCGCCACCGACGCTCACTATTGCGGATATGAGTGGCAATAATAATATGATGGAAATTAAGGCAAATAACAAGGTGGCGCTCCACAACAACATAATAAATAATAACCAAATCACAAACAGCAACTTGACAACAACACCGCCAATACCACCGGCGAAAAATAGCGGTGGCAGTGGTGGCACAACCAGTTCTGGCAGTGGGGGCGGTGCATCACCAGCGGCATCGAGTACCGCAGTGGCAGGTGGCGCCGTTAGCAAAGGCGGAAGTGGTGGAGAGAAAGTCAAGCACGCCTCGCCCATACCAGAGCGAAAAAAAGTCTCCAAAGAAAAAGAAGAGGAGCGCAAAGAATGCCGCATAACGCAGTACTCCCCTCAGGCTTATAAATTCTACATGGAACAGCACATCGAAAACGTGATCAAGTCATGCAAGCAACGTGCGTATCGAAAGAACCAACTGGAAAAGGAGATGTCACGCATGTGTTTGCCCCAGCAGGCGCAAGTGGAGATGCGGAAAATGTTAAGCCAAAAGGAGAGTAATTATATACGCTTGAAACGCGCCAAAATGAACAAAAGCATGTTTGAGAAAATCAAGGACATAGGTTTGGGCGCATTCGGTGAGGTGTCGCTGGTTAGAAAGATTGACACAACGAATCATCTGTATGCCATGAAGACGCTACGCAAGGCGGATGTACTGAAGCGTAACCAGGTGGCGCATGTGAAAGCAGAACGTGATATTTTAGCGGAGGCCGATAACAATTGGGTTGTTAAATTATACTATAGTTTTCAGGATAAGGAAAATTTATATTTTGTGATGGACTACATACCGGGTGAGTAAACTTTATAATCTTTAAAGTCGTGAATTATTAAGTTACGCATATGTATTATGTATTATAATTTTTTCTTTACCCAAACAGGCGGCGACTTGATGTCTCTATTAATTAAGAAAGGCATATTTGAAGAACCTTTAGCGCGGTTCTACATTGCCGAATTGACATGCGCTGTTGAAAGTGTACACAAAATGGGTTTTATTCATAGGTACGTAGAGTAAAAGCGGTGAAAAAGTGCTTATACATTAGTTATTTACTAACAACATTTATTCTTCTCATTACAGGGATATCAAACCTGACAATATACTCATCGATAGGGATGGTCATATTAAATTGACGGATTTTGGATTATGTACTGGGTTTAGATGGACACACAATTCTAAATATTATCAGGAAAATGGTAAATATATCAAGCACTGACTAACTTAGATACATATACTACGTATATAGTCACTTTAATATAAAAATAATGTAATAGCCAACCAAACCTGTTGCTACGAATGTGAACGTAAAAATTTTTAATTTTAAACTTTTATGGATTACAATTCTTGACCTATGTATAAATAAATAATGCAATTTTCTTCTTAGGCAACCATTCGCGACAAGATTCAATGGAGCCTTGGGAAGAGTACTCCGAAAATGGGCACAGACCAACAGTCTTAGAAAGGTAAATATGATATTTTTTCTGAAGTCCCTGATAAATATCATCAACACTTTGTTCATATTCACAGGCGACGCATCCGCGATCATCAAAGAGTATTGGCACATTCACTGGTGGGAACGCCAAATTATATTGCACCAGAAGTGCTGGAACGTAGTGGTTACACGCAGCTTTGTGATTGGTGGAGCGTTGGTGTTATACTCTATGAAATGTTAGTCGGGCAACCGCCATTTTATGCGAGTACTCCAGTAGAAACACAACAAAAAGTATGCCAACATTTAAGTATTACCAATGCCAACTAAACTGAACTTGTCCATCTGTTACAGGTAATAAATTGGGAAAAAACTCTGCACATACCGCCGCAAGCGAAATTAACCCCAGAAGCTACTGACCTGATACGACGCTTATGTTCGTCAGCGGATAAGCGTCTTGGCAAAAATACAGAAGAAGTGAAAGCGCACCCATTTTTCAAGGGTGTAGATTTTGCTGATATGCGCCAGCAAACTGCACCCTATATTCCAAAGATAGAATTTCCCACAGATACGTCCAATTTTGATCCGATTGATCCGGATAAATTACGTTCGAATAATTCAAATGTAAGCGGCGATGATTTTGCTGATAGCGACAGACAGTTCCATGGATTTTTCGAATTTACATTTAGGAGATTTTTCGATGATAGATTCAATCCTGAGATGACAGACGATCATTCAACGTATCAGGACGTCGGAAATACAACACAGAGCAATCATAATGCAAACGAACAGTTTATTTAGTCATTTAAGTAGTTAATAGGGGAAACTTATAAATACAAAAGTATAAGAAATTGTGTTTGTATGCAGTTAGTTATGTAGTTAATTAATGTAATGTCACAAAAATCTCCTAGTTTGAAGTTTGAATAAGAGCAAAGGTATAGCAGACTGTTAATGCAATATTTAATATAAAACCTTATCGCCCACCGTAAAAAAGAGAAAAAAAGAAAGGGGGGGAAAGTACACATAAATATATCAGCAGATATACATAAACGATCGTTGTGCTAAATATCAAAATATATTATCTGCATACTAGTTCATGCCAGTGGTGCACACATATTTCATCCGATGCAAAATGTGAAATAGAAAATTATTAATTACATTTGTAAAAATTTTTTCTTAGTTTTTTTACCGCTGAACATCGACTGTTAAAGTTTTTTGATTCGTTATATTTTTACAATTACATATCTGCTTGAGATCAAACGATGTCAAATTTTTTTAAAATATTTGCTTTAAGACTAAATTTTAAATAACAGAGCTACAACGATATTTAAGAATTCATGCCGGTTTTAAATGTAAAACGCATCAGAAAAATATGCGCGTGCACCATTAGTATCGACGAAATTTTTACAAAAACAAAGCACGTGTAATGAGTTCTTAGTTATCATGAACGTTAAGAATTTTTTCATAGTCTAACTTTAATATTCGGAATTTATTTGGCTTGTTATAGATAATTGCTAATATTCATTTGATGAGTAATTTTTGGAAAACTGTAAATTAGTTTTTAAACATTATACAAGAAACTAGTATATATTTAATTAATCGAAAATGAACTGAGCCTAGGGATAAAACACTATTGAAAAACGTATATATACATATGTTTGTGTTATTAAAACATAGATCATAGATATGAATCATTAAATGTTAACTAGAAACACCTATACATAAACAAGTCTCTTGCTATGTACTATGTAAAATTTTGAGTTCAATCTATCCTGAACATATGAAATATTTCATAATTGCTGTGCCTTATTTTAAAAGGATACATATTTTTGTAAACATACATACAACTGACGTCCAAGTATATAAGATAAGAAGTAACTTATGTAAGCACTGCAGGCCCTTTAATGCATAAACGTATCTACAAAACTGCGCTTGTGTTCGGTTTTTGAAACTATTTTGTAGGAGTTTTTTGTATGTATCTACCTACATATCTGACGAATTTAAAAACAAATTGTAACAAAAATATACCATTTATACTGTTATGGGAGTCTAAGAAAAAAGTGATCTATTTCAGCAGGCTGGATAGAAAATAACTGTTTGGGAAGCATGTGATGAGGTATGAAAATTGTTATAGAAATTGACTGGAAAGAAAAGCAAAAGCACAACCGCATAATGAGTAAAAATTTAATAACACCAAACTGGCCTGCACGGACATAAAATATTTTTCAAAAAAAATGCCTATGTATAAAATGATATATGTATCTATTTTAGTAAAGCTAGCGAAATAAGCTGGTCTTATACACCAAATCTGTTCAACTGTCAAAGCATTTCTCAAAATCAAAATAAAATGAGCTCGTCAAGTGCTGACAAATTTAACCAATTGAATGAGAATGAATGTAAAATTTGCTCAATTGGTTTTCAGAACCATGTCTTAATTTTTGTATAATTTGAAATGTAATCACCCTGAACTTTTCTCTGGGTATTGTTACTCGTCATTTCGAATGCATTCAACTGTAGATGTAGCCTTATCTCACAGTTTTGTTAAATAACAAATTAATCAGGCTGGCTCTGCAATTCACTTCCGAGTGAGTTTCAACCAAAGCCACTTTGAATCAAATGGGGTTGGAGTTCACTCGGAAGTGAATTGCAGAACCGGTCTGAATGTGTATGCATTGTATTTATTGAATTGAATAAGCCAACGATGTGTAAAAAATGGAGGATAATATGAAACAATCAATAGCATGGCGTTAGTATATAAACAAACATATACATACGAGTAAACAAACAATGTTTTTAGTAATAGTTAATTTAAATACCAATAAGTTGATAGAGTAACTAATTCTAACTTACGATTACATTAGTACATTAGCAATTTGCATACATACATACATGCATACATACATAACATACATTTACACACATCCATCTTTACGGTAGACAAATTTATGGTTACATATCGTTACCTTAATATAGAAAGGCCGTAACAAACATTTTTTTTTCTTTACATAGTAGTTGTAAAACTAAAGTTCTTCAGTGGCAAATTCCTTCAAGTCAGTGGTTTTTAATAAAAACTAAAACTAACTTAATGACGTAGTACTGGTTTTACAAATCTTTTACGGTTCTTAGTGGGTAATCTACGGACTTATGTGCAACGGTAAATTTTGAAAGAAAGTGAGTTCGGGCATTTCTCTGTTAAGGTAACAATATGTAAACTTCAATATTTTTACCACACTTTTGGCTTGCTCGGAAAGGTATCAATGCAAGGTTTCAATCAGTCTCTTTTTGATTTGTAAACTTAAATTGATGGAAATGTCCAATAAGCGTAAACATAGTTAAGAGTTAGCTATGCGTTTGTCAACAAACATTTTTTTGCAATACCCGCATACATATGCACTCTATTTGTTGTTTGTCTTTATTACACATCCTGTCATACTTTCAAACAGTTTTCATATTTATTGTTAAATAAAATACATACATTGCAGAAATAATGTGCCTTCGATTTTGGAGAATGCAATGCCTCTTTTAACGATGCGCTTTGTAGAGCGAAGATTTCACAAGTCTATGTTTATCGTACTCTGCTTTTCACAATATTGCAGCAATAAATGTGTATATAGTTAGTTTAATGTTAACACTTTAGTAAATGTATGAAATTGTTTGCAAAACCAATTCGTAATCCGCAAAGAGTAGCTTAACAAAATAAATAAGTACATAACTACAAAAATAAATTATAATAAAAAAATTTTGTATATCTGAAAATTTCTATTCATGTATCTTATCTCTAATGTCTGAAATATGTAGTTGTTGTTCATATTTTTAATTTAATTTTGTGTATAGAAGAGAAATGATCCGTTGATGCGAGATACTTTTTGAAATACAAACTAATAAATAAAAAACATAATATTTCAAAATATTAACCTTTAATATATGGGTAGTTATTATGGATTATGCTGTTATCAAGAGTAACACCCTCAGGGCCAGTTTTTCAGTGCACGGCTGTGGTTAAAACTTTTTTAAACGCTGTTGTGGTTGTTGTGGTTGTAACAGCATGAAAATTCCCCAAAGAGTTTTTGGGGAGTGTTGCTGGAGAGACAGTACTTGGCCAGATATAGATCTGGGTCGTTCCGGTTACGTAGACCCGACTGTCGTGGGAACGCACGAGCTGGCTGGTTTAAACTAAGATTAACCAATCAAATATCAGCCAGCTGTTCAATTTATATTCATCCCAAACGCCGGCAGATAACTTTTCCGCCCTTGCTTTCGTTGTCCACCCATGGTTGCAGGGTTAAATACATACACAGCATAAATTTATTATTGGAACACATCAAGAACCAACCGTTCAGCTATGGGAAAACTAAAAATGCAGACCGATAGTACTTTTTACGCTGATTTCAACTATATAAAAATTATTTGCCGCAATTAAAAATTAAAGAAGGCATAAAAGGTTAAAGAAATTTTTTTTGATATTTTAAAGTAGTAATATTTTCTAAACTACGTAACCGATTAAAAAAGTAATGATATCAAAATAAAGACAATTAATCTATCTTTAAGTTGATATACAAAATGTGTTTGCTTGCTTATATATATTAAGCCAAAAATATTAAAAAACAAATAAAATGTTATAATTTTTTCATAAAATAACCTTTTTTAGAAAAAAGTGCAGAATCATACATATCGCTAGCTTAGAGAGAAAAGTTGCTAAGTCCACTTTTTATGAAAACTCATATTTTGATATAGGAGGCTAGAGAAATTGAATACGCATCGTTTCGAAAATTATAAAGGTACATGTTTTATTTTTTCCTCTTCATAAGCAATAAAAGGAAAATTTGCTAAGTCCAAAAGAAGCACCGCAAATCCGATAAGGCCAGAATAATGCGACATCTTTTAATAAATATCGAAACCTTCTGATTCTTATGGAGTTTTGCTTTGCTTTAAACGCGCAAAATGTTTGATTCAAAGTCTTGCGAAATAGTTAAAGAAAATGGCTATAGGAAGATTTTTTCCTCTCCTGTAAAATTTTTAAAATGGGACTTAGCAACTTTTCTTTCTAAGATAGCGATATATATTATTTAGAAAGTGCAAGTTCTTACCTTTAAATTTAATTTCTTAATTTAATTTTAAGAATTCAGTGATAAAAAAAATTAAAAGCATTTACAAGCAAGTGACAAGTGTGGGTGATATCATAAGGGCTGTTCAGGATGTTGTGGAAATGGTCTTGGATTTGCAGTTGGAATTACATTTGCTTATTTTTTGCTTGCTGCCATGGCAACCGTGTGCATTTTATTGTTGTGAATTTACAAATGCAACGAATATGCAAATCCAAGAGCATATGCACAAGATCCTGAACAGCCCTAGTGTTTCTTTTGCCCAGAACTCCTTCTGCGTAGGCTTAGGGATCATAACCCTTACAAAGTAGAATTCTCCTTTCTGTATTGGCGAAGAAGCGGAGCTCCCTAGGGAACCATAGGGAACCTAGGTGGTCGGGGGTTGCATTTTTGTCAATGGCGGTTCATTCCCTCTCCAAAAAGGTGGGTTAGAGGTGCCACGCCCATTTACCTTTCGCCCACCGCTCCTTTAACGAACGGTCAATGGAAAGCCAACCCGTTTAATTAACTACAATATGCATTTGCACATACATGCATTTATATTTTTTATTATCACTGAATTCTGAAAACTCAAAATCAAATCATAATATATTATGTATATCAAATTAAAGGTAAAAACTTGCACTTTATAAATAATATAAATATTTTTAGCATTGGTTTTGGACTTTTTCTAAAAAGAAGGTAATTTTTTTTTTAAATTATGAATTTTTTTTTGTTTTATAATATTTTTGGCTTAAATATATAAAAAAAAGCACACATTTTATATAACAGCTTGAAGATTAATTAATTGCCTTTATTTTGACATCATTACCTTTTGAATCGGTCGCGCAGATTAAAAAATATTAAAAAATCATCGGGAGAAAATCGCCGCAACATTACGCCCAGTAAAACAGAACAGCAATGAAATTCGCATTAGCTGAATGAGAAATCGTAGCCTGGATAAAAAATTGTCGCATATTACTCCCTTCAGACTTTGGCAATTGTGGTTGAAGTTTTTCGTAAAAAAGCGACAAATAAATTTTCTCCAAAGTCTCGGAGAATGTCACTAGTTCACGAAATTAATAAATTAATTTATTTTTATTGTTTATTGTTAACTATTTTGAAGTTTCTTTCA